TCCAAAGCCTGTCTCTGTCCAGTGTCACTAGGCTGCATAGATGGATCTTGATATAACTGAATCTGTGTGATTTACCTGGGGAAGAAGGAGGATAACTTTATTTCATTTTCTCTCACTTTAATATTTCAGTCATGTCTTCTGCCAACATATCTTTGTGTTAGCACCTTTTCATTGTAAATGCTTTGATAGTGAGTAAGTTGATATTTGCTTGGAATGGATTTTGTGCAGCAATTCCTGAAGTTAGGTTTGAAATATGCTATCTCTTAGTGGCCTTTTAGTTTGTCTTTTAATAGGCCATGGCAGGCTTGTGACAAACCTCAGTTAAATAGAGGCATCCAGCAAATCTAAGAAAATCTCAAAACTGGTGACTGAATTATCTGATCTGTCTTCATGAAACTCACAGTGTGAGAATGGATATTCTGTGGAGTTGGTAAAAGATGAGCTAAAAATGAAATGCATAGTGGGTAACAAAATTCTGGAATTTGTTGATATAGCACGTTGTGTAAGAAATTCTTTAGGCAACAGGTATAGATGTGCCTTCTAACAACCCATCTGCAATCTCTGGAGGAGGAGAGAGGAAAGAAATAGATTGCTGGCAGCACTCAGGTTGGCAAGTGCCTAACTAGTGTTTTCCACCACTCTTGAGCAAGATGGGCCATTGCATTGACCCAGTAACCAATTTCCTAAATTCTTGTAATTCAGTCTCAGTTGGACGGGTTAAAAAAATGAAAAGTTGGAACTGGGAAGATGTGATATACAGGGATGTGTGTCATTAGCATATGTTTCATTGCTTTCATGATCGCACCAGTTTTGTCTGTGTGAGTTGGCCTCATTCACCTGCTAAACATGGAGCACTATGACCACAGATTAGTGCCTGCTCAGAAAGGGGAAGTCAATGCTGGCACCTACTTCTGGCCCTTCTTATGAGTAAGGACAGGGGTCTCTTGCTTGCAGAAGTTGTGGAAGTAGTGGATTGCATCTGGGAACGTGTATCCCTGACATGAGCTCTTTGTCTGGGCAAATTGTACCTGGGCTGGGAAATTTTTGGCAAAATTATACTGGATTTGGTTCAGTAAAAGTGGAGTGCCTTAGGCCATTGGGTGGATCCCTGAACTGTTGACACTGCAAGTAATTACCCAGCCTGTTTTTTCTTTAAATGGTGCAAAGGTTTACCTGGAGACAAAGCCACAACTGAAGATGGAAGCCTGACCTTTTGTCAGGCTATCTGAGAAATGACTCCCCTCCTAAAACTGGCAGAGCTACTTGTCAGTCATCATCTGTAATGTACTTTCATTTCGATTTAAATTTGCTTTTTCTTCTTGATTTCATTCACAGTGGTTGCTGACATCTTTAAGTGTGGAACAAAAGAAAAAAAGTTCAGTTTGAACTGACAAGTAAATTGTTATATAACTTTCCAAAGCCTTAAAGAGAGCTGTTGTAATTATGCTGTGGATTTTACTTTTATATAACTGTACGTACTAATTCGTATAACTCCAAAGTGAATTACATGTTTGAATTGTTTGTATTACCTCTGGCCTTTGATTCAGTGCTCAATAAAGTCATTGTAATGATTTTAGGTTGTGTATATTGTTACATGAACATTGCGTTGCCAGAGCATCACCTCAGCAGTTAGTCTACATGATGCATACTCTTATTGTAAAATAAAGTGTAATCCAGTTAGTGTTTTGTAAACCTCCAATTGCTGTTTTCCATCTTGCTTCTGCTAATATAATAGGAGCCTCCTTTTCAAGTGCCTTCTTTGTCACCATTTCTTCTATTGTCTGAGTCTATTGTAAGTATTGGGGGGTGGGGGGAGGGGGAAGGAAGGGGAAGAGAGAAAGAAGTTCCTCTCTGAAGAAGTTTTCAATTTCTTGCATTTTTAGATCTGCCCGATACAAACTCAGGATCCAGGAGGAAATATTTCTTCATCAAATTTAGACATTTTAGAAAATTACTTAGACATTTTCTAAAATGCAGAAAACAGTTTTGCAGCATCCAGAGGGAACTGGTCACATTAAACAAATACTTGCTTATGTCAAAAAGCCTGTGTACTGAGGGGCTTTGTGTACTGGGCACACCCTCTGATGCACTCAGGTGTGTAAGTGGAATGGTGACGTAAACAGAAGAAACATGAGCAAAGCTTCGGCAGCACATCCCTAAAGCCAGTCACATTCAGCAGTGCTGTCAGTGAAGTTTTGATTACTGTTAGTGACTATGTTCTTCTGAAGTGAGCTTTGAGCTGTAGCATTTATTTATCTTGAATCCTGTCTGATTTTACCTAGGTGCATTCAGATGCTTACTGAATTAAGGTATTGATGTATTTGTCTCCTTTAAGCTAAACAGTTGTCTGAAAATAAAAGCCCTTTATTTCAGTTTTGTATAACTGCAGTGAGTATTTGCTTACAGTTTCCTATTGGGAGTTGCCATGGTTATTGTCAGTGTGCAAACCAGAATTGTGCTACATAGGAGGGCGAGTTTCAAAAGGAAAGGTGAGAACTGGCAGAAGTTGGTGGCAACTGTCACTTTTTTGGCTGCTAAAGTTGCTTTCACATAGAAAAGAGACCTTATAAATACTTGCTTTAATTTCATTTCATTTAAAAGAATTATATTAATAAAATTCACCCAAAGTTACTGGCTAATCAAGTCAGGGATTTAATTAGAACTTGGATGTGAACTGCATGCAGCAAAATTCCATGTGAATGAAGTACCAATGAAGACAAAATTTTGCTTGTTATATGGCGAAGTGCAGCTCCAAGCAGTTAATGGAGCATTTTTAAATGTTTCCACAAACTCTCATCATTTATCACATTTCCAGGATGCTAGGCAAACACATGCTGTGTGAGCTCTTGCTCCTTCACTGGCACTTGTCAGCATCTACTTAGTATTTCTCTTGAAGACTTCACATATTTGCACAGCACAGTACGCCAGAAGTGTACATCTGAGCAGAGGAGAACCTTCCATCCATTCCACAAGTTACAGAGTGGTTGCTTGGATAGTGCTGCAGGGCTGTGGCAAATAATTGGTTTTTGTTGTGTAAAGAAATGAATCAAAAAGTGGACAATCCAGAATATGGCTCGTGTGTGTTCTTGCGTAAGGAAAACTTTCCATGATGGTGTTCCCGGTGTTACTATCAACATAATATAATGTGTTCAAATGTTAACCTTTCAGACATCAGTAGCAGTTGTTTTGGAAAAGGTTAGCTACAGCTGTAGCAGAGACATGTTAAATTCATCACCCCTGGAGTTCTCTAATCGTTGAGGCTGGGATTTTCTGTTTCATAGGAAGCAAGGCTTCTGAGGGAAAGATTGATAAGGAACAAGGGAGCTAAGTATCTCATAGAAAACTATAAAACCATTATGTGGGTTCTGTATGAGCCTTGGGAGGCCCGTGTTTAGTTGCTGAATCAGCAGGTGTGATTGGATAAGTTGGAAAGCTTAACAAAGATCATGTTCACCAAATACGTACCCCTTCCCAAGGTACTTTGGAGAATGGTGGTTTCCATGTTCATGTTGCAGTGAAGGGTATCCTAAACACTGCAACCGGTAACAATAGTAATGTCCTTATTGTCATGTTAATAGCAAAGTGCCAGGATGTGACCATTATATATAGGGGAATTCAGATTTTCCTTTTATTTATTTATGGATTTTTTCTTCTAGTTTGCAGTCCTCTTGGAAAGTAATCTGAAGGGTTTCCTGAGGAATAATTTTTCTTCCCTAATGAAGATCTGTTAGGTTTTCAAATACCAGAAGTGCCAGAAGCCCATATGCCTCATATGACTTATGTTAGAAATCCTTCTGCTTGGAGAATGTGATTGCATTAACAGCAGAAGTAACTATAGGTTGAGGCACACCATTACTTTGTCATGTGAGTTGTTTTCTGCACTGAACACGTCGCCTGGAACCCGGATGCACTCCCTGTGTCAGGAAACATTTTGTGCTGTCCCCTTACTAGAAAACTGAACTTTCCATAAGTGAGTGTGATATATGCACTGCTGTGGATGAAATTGAACTCCTGGCTTATGTTAGCCAGTTTAAAAGGCTTGAAAAAAGATGCCTCTTAGCCTACATTATCAGATGCTGCTGCTATATACAATACTTTGTCTAGTGAAATTGTGTGACTTCAGAATGCCTTTTATTGAAGCAATAGCCCATGAATATCATCCAGAAACAAACCAAGGCTGCATCCAGTGTACTTCAAGACAGTGAATTACTGCTCACTTTTTGTGGTTTCCCATGGAGGAGAGCATGGTGCAAGAGAGCATGGGCTGGAGGTCATTCCCAGTGGGCAGGCTGGATGTGGCTATTCTGAGGGTTAGTGAACATTACCTCTACAGAGGTGATCAGACTGTGCCAGTTGACCTCCAGGCTGCCTGTGTCCCAAGCATTGTTTATTCTGCAAGTACATACCTAGCCAGTGTCATGATTTGTTCTGTGAGTCCCTTTGGAAGATTGATGTTTATATTTGAAGTAGAAACAGTTGATTAATCTTAGCTCTGTACAACTGGTGGTTGTTGCTGGTGTTTTTTCTTTTTAAGCTGAAGTTTTTCTCTTTGAGCATTCCTCTTGCATTATGTCAGCTTCACTCTGAGTTGCCAAACTGTAGTGAAAAGTCACTCCTCTTTGTTCTTTGTATGGTAGGCGGTCAACTAAAGGTGATTATTTGTGCTGAGGTTACCAAGCAGCAAGTTTAAGCACATCATCGTCTTCTCTAGAAGACACCAGCAGAGGCTTAATGTATTTGGAGTAGTTACCTATCTGCACTGTTGGCTTAAACTGGATCATGAGGGGGAAATCTCAGCTTGCCACACTCTGAGCTGTGTCTTTCTAGTCTAAAGAGCTTCTAACTTGCTGGTGAAAGTGAATACTTCTGACCTGGGCAGAGCCCTAGAAATTCTCCTGTATGTATTTGTTGGCTTACAGTCAAAATATGCTGTGATTCAGAGGTACACAGAAACAAAAATACCAATATACTGACTCCATGTTTTTTCAATCTCTATTTAGGTACTTCCTTTCCCCAGCCAGGTGGTCTACAACAGAGTTGGAAAGTGTGGAAGTCGAACTGTGGTTTTGCTTTTGAGAATTTTATCAGAGAAACATGGATTCAACCTGGTTACATCCGACATCCATAACAAGACAAGACTGACCAAAAATGAACAGGTAACTTCATCTTCGATCCTGTTTTCTTAGTATGTTTGTGAGACTGAGAGACAAAGGCATATGCTGGCAGAAATCATATTTAAAATGCACACTGGTTCTTTGACCTGAGTAATCAGCCAGAATTCATCATCCTCTGAGTGGCTTCAGTTAATAGGCAAAATGGATGATAGAGCCAAGAGCAACATGATGTGGAAGCTAAGCAGAAAAGCTAACTTCCAGTGAGCCAGCTCGTGAATTTAGTCAGCGTAGCAGTTAGTCCAGCAGTGAAGCAAGAAGGGTTAGTACAAGAGAAGTTAGGTGCTAACAGCTTCTGGGATTTGTATTAATGTATCTTCAGGGCACAACCATTTATCATATAAGCAGGCCAGCTTATTTAGACCTAACTTGGGTCTCTTTTAGTAGAGCAGGAGTAAATAATAGCCAATAGTTGTTTTGTTTGGGGTTTTTCCTCACTATCTTCATTCAGAATTTTCTAGGAAACATTTGCTTCAAAAAGCTGTTACCCAGTGCTATACTAACCTGTGTTGCTATAATTTGACACATCCTTGATCTTATCTCAGCCTCTTGCTCATCTGCCTTTTTCATGCTATCACACAACCCTCACTAAAGCAAATGAAAATATCACATGAAACCTCTTTACCCAGGCACCCCTTTTCCTGTTCCTTTAAAGTTGTAGAGGGCATTATTTTTGCAGCTTTGATTCCACAAAAGATCCAATTATTTAAATTCTTTTGTATTTAGGGTAACCAAGTGCCCTCCGAATATCACTGCCATCAGCAGATGCTGGTGCAAGTAATACAGAAAACCTCAGGCTCTGAAGAGTATGGATATGGTCAGATGCTATAGACATGGCTGTTGCACACAAATTGCCCACAGCTGCTATTTTGATCTACAGATCAGGTAGAGGCTGCAATAACTGCCTGTGTCACTTCTAGAAATAGCAGCCAGCAAACCACAAAAGAATAAATGCAATGGTATATACAGACCTGGGCCTGCCAGTGGCATTGTGCTATGATTGGGGGTGATTTTTTTGTAGCCTGTTTATGAGCAGAAGTTTGTTATTTTAGACACAGTGGTTCATTTCAAATGGAAATTTGGGAGCAGATATTTGTCCTGCTGGTCCCACCTTCCTTCCTTCCAAGATGGCCATAGGTGTCTCACCACCAGCTGCCTTACCTAACCCCACATGGTGTTTTAAGTTCAGCCCAAGGTGGGGCCGACTAGCCAGGGCTGCCATGCCAACCCAAAGGCTTCTGTGCACAGCTGGGTGCAGCACCCCAGGGGAAAGGTTTGAGGGGGAGGACAGTATCTCCCCAGTGCCCCTGCTTGTGGCCAAGGGAAGGTCTGGGCTGCAGTTACTGCAGCATCCCTCTGTGTATCCTACTGGCAGCACCTTGGAGCCTCGGAAGTTTGCAGGATGGTCCCATCGGGCCCCATCAGGTCAGGGTCAAACTATCCTGAGCTACTGCCTGGTTAGTTTTTCTGCTTAACTGTAGGATATGGGATAGAAGACTTCAGTGGGTATGACTGCTTTTGGGTTTTGGCTGTGTCGTTCATCAGATATCACATCACAACAGTCTTCAGTATTTTAGTCAAGTATGTGGAGATTCTGGAGGCTTATTTTTGATTCAACCAGTACAATGACAGAGGATAAATATCCTCATTACTTTGTCTGCACCAGAAGCTGCTCTGTTACTAGGTAAAAATGGGCTGGAACACAGATGATACTGGATAAATTGACACTGAGCTAATGGTGTACTCTATAGATTGCCCTAGTATAACTTGGGTCTCTTAAATTATGGCTTATTTACATAGTTACAATATGTTCATAATTTAATGAGTACTTTTGCTGAAAAGTGCCTTTGATCAGCAGGAAACATGCCTGGAGACAGTAACTGTGTTGTTCAGGGTGGTTTTAGTTGTCTTCTCATTTTTTATGAGCAGAATAGGAAAAAATAAATTATTTCTGCCACCTTTAATGTGGTGTACACAAGGGGAAGTTAAGAGAATGGATGGTCTCAGGCTCCAGGCATTGGAATGAGAGAAAAGAGAGCTGGGCAGGGCTGTAGGCTCCCAGCATGTGCATGGGCTTCTCACTGAAGAAATGTCTCTCTTCCTTATGTAATTTGTCTGTACTGTGTTTGGTTAATGCCCTGATCCAGCCAAGACTTTTATGTAAATGTTTAGCTTATGTAGTCTGCTGTTGTTGAATAAAGTTAAGCATGTAGGTGTTCTTAATGACTATGGAGACTGCACATAACTGAAATCCATATTTTCATTGCCTTTCCCAGTCTCCTACCAAGACATTTCCCCAAATCATATGTGCTTGCCAGCAATTATAAGTGCAGCATTTGAACATCTGTGGGCATAAGGGAGTGAGTTCTGGAAATAGATTGGTTAATCTGTGCCTTACCATTTGCTATGATATTTCCAAGTAAATTAAATTCAGAAAATAATGTGTATTATTCATGTATACAAAGTTAATCTAACTGATGTGGCTTTAAGATGACAAGCAAACTCCTGCAAAATAATTCTTCCCCTTCCCTGCCTTCCTCCCCACCACCCTTTTTTGTTTGGTTGTTTTTTATTTTTTTCATTTGGAGAGTAAGAGTATAGATGTAGATATATTATAGAGATACCGATACGAATTGCAGGAGTAATTGATGGTTTATCCTCATATTGTTTACTTCTACCACCCATCCTTATGGCCATGCAGCCAGCTTTATGTCTAATTCCAGTTTAACACACTAAAATTCCATCACTAATTTTTCTTAAGTGCTTCTAAAGACAAAATTTGTCATAGCAGCTTGGGGAGCTGGAGAAATTCTTGAAACTATTCCAAGTTTTTGAAAGCTGAAAACAAAGACCTAGTCTCATTCCTGCGAGTTGTTTATGGAAATGATACCAAGATGAAAGTGATATACCAAACACCTGTAGATACTTGTGCATCCTGGACCCTGCATGCCTGAAAACAGTAGAGGAAGGTAAAGAACTCACAAGAAAGATACAGAGATTTTTTTTTTTTTGTCCTATTTTATCAGTGTTAGTAGAGACCAGAGTGTGATCCAGCTGACCTCACTTGGAAAATTCCAGTTGCCTCACCGTTTTTGTACATTTTGACCTCAGATTCTCCCAGTGAAATAACAGCAACTTAAAAAAAAAAGTGGTAATGTTTTGGCTGTTGTCTGGGTGGGATTATTATCAGATTCTTTTTGTTCCCAGTAGAATTTACCTATTGCAAACACTGAACCAAACAGGACTGCTATGAACAGTTAGCTTGGGGAACTGGCTGTTTTCAGAAGAGGGAAAGGTGGTGTCCTCTCTCACAAGCCTTGAGCTGAGTTTTTAAGCAGGAACAATGCTGTGGCTGGAGCAAAGCCATCCTCCACGTTTCTCCCCTCTCGGAGAGGGCCTGTCCAGTCTCCCTCAGTCATTTAACTGTGCCATCTGCTGGATTGTGATTTGCAGTACAGCAACAAATGCATGAGTGATGCTGAGCCGTTATGGTTTAATTTCTTCAGCATGGCTAACTGAGATCCTACAGTAGTAGCGTAGGATGGTAGACAAAGGAAAAACCTTTCCGTTTGGATATTGCCTTCTGATGTTCTTGCTCAGGTGGGCTTTAAGATTCAGAAACAGCTTGTGATTTACAGGATTGCATCTCTTTGCAGATCTGGTCTTCTTTAAAGGTCCTGTTTAAGGATCAGTGCAGAAAATTAATTTTGGAGGAAAACTTACAATAAAAGCTTAAGGAATCACAGTGGTAGAAAGATATTATGCTAGGGAGCAAATCAGCATTTATGCTAAAGACCCTGTTCTTTACAATAAAGTGTTTATGGAGAGGTGGAATGACAGCAGATGTGTGTTGACCACACCACAGAGGTATTTGCCAAGTGCTTGTTGTGGTTTCTCATCTCTGCAGGCTTTTGCCATGCAGTGTGCCCAGTTCTTTTGGTTTGCTTTTGCGCTGCAGTTGAGCTGATGTGGCTGGGCCATGCCATAGGCTCCACTGGTGGATTGAGAGCATGTGGGCATGAGATATCACTGCCTGCCTCTCCAGTCTTTGTGTCCTGGCATTTCCTTCTCCCTGGATCCTTGTTTAGCAGCATGAACCCTCTGGTGCAATTTAATTAATTTCAAAAGCAAATTGCTGTCTTTTTCAGCACTGTTTCACTGCAGTAACCTGACTTTCCCAGGAGAGCTCATGGTAGCAGCAAGAAAAGGAATGGCTCTTCATGGGCCCTTATCCTAGTGAGCATATGCTCCATTCAAGCTTACTCCAGATATTTCTACAGCTGCTCCCTCTAAACATGGGTGTGTTCTGGTTCATCTCTTTCCTAACAGTGTTTGCCAGGGTAGTTTTTCTTCTGCTGCTTGTGCTTTTTCATGTCTTTCCAAACTTAGATTGGTTAAGACAATCTCCTACATCATTTGCACTTGTATGTCTGTCTCCTACATAACTCATTCCCTCCAAAGGTGCTTTGCTTTCCTCAGCTGTTCTCCTCTGCTCAGTCTTCCTCTGTGTTGGTACTCTACACTAGCTATCTTGTAAAACCCAAGAACCAAAACACCAAACCAAGAGCAAAAGAACCCACTGGAGACCTTACTCCTATGGGAGACCTTTCAAAATTTGTTTGTTTTTTTTTTTTTTTTTTTAAAGTCATCTTAAAAGGAGGCACTGTCTAATGTTTGGCTTCTTAGACTGAAATCAGTTCAGCACAGTGGGATCAGAGAGAGGTAGGCCCATGGGAAATATGGCCACAGTTTGCATGTGGCTGTGAGCCATTACAGTTACTTATTTTTCCCTCCTGACATCTGTGTGTTGTTTCTGTTAAGCCTTACTTACCCTTTTGGCACAGTTTTTAAAAGGATGGTTTTTGCTTGTTTGTTCATATGCACATTGTAGCTTTATCCACATCTGCTTGCAAGTCTAGTTCATCATTAAGTGTCTAAATGTGAAGGTACTTTTAAGTCAAAACAAAATTCTGTGCGTGCTTTGGTCTAAGCTATTCTTATAGCTCAAGAGATTGAGTTTGGTAGCAAGGGATTTTAAAAAAGCCAGGAGCCAGATGCTGTCCTACTCTCTGTGCATCTTTCCAGACTTTGCTCCAGAGGCAGAAGTGCCTGTGCTGGTACAAAAACTGGTTGACACAAGCCTGACACTGACATCAGGTGAAGTGCAATGGGAAACATGATAGTGGTGTGATGTGAATCCGCCTGGTGCTAGCAAATTGGTACCAGCCCTAGGGAGAGATGAAGAGTAAGGGAGGCTTGCATGGTGCTTTGTAACACTCACATATACTACTCCCACACGTTTATGTAGTGGTATTATGTTAAAGGTGCCTGACTTTTTAAACTCAGTGGGATTAATCTGTATATGTATACTATCTGTAAATATCCATATTTATACTCTAATGTTTGTTTTTTATTTATTCCAAGATGCAGTTACAGTGGTGACTGTAATGGCATGAATGGAGTTTTTATTCCATATCAGTAACTTTTTTCTGTCATCTTCCTTCATTCATTCATGCAGATACAGTAACACAGGTAAAATGCCAATAAACATAAGTAAAGCTTCGTACAGTTCTGAGAATTTAAATTCTCTTTCACTTTTCTGGGTAAAAACAAAGAAGCCAACTGAGACATCTGATAGACAGTCTCTAGAGTCTCCCCTTGTTTCATTCTTCAAGATGAATGAATATAATTTTTTGGCAGACAGAGTCCTGAAAAAATGTTGGCTTGTTTGGTTTGCAAGGGAAGCCTTTGTCTCATCAGGGAATTAACAAACAGTAGCCAATTGCTTGTTCCAATTATTACAAAGTTTCCTGGGCTTTCTAATTCTGGTTTGGGCAAGCTCTTCTCTTCAGGTTTATTAATTTCTTTTTCACAACATTTATGTTGTACTGAAGGAACTGTATAAAGATCTGTTTGTACTTGAATCAACCAGTCTGGGGTCTGTATATGACTAACTAAAGCAGGGGGGCTGTTCCCTTCTTGCCACTTTTTTTAAAGCACACATCTGTCTGTTTTCTCTTGTTTCTCTTTTCTTTTCATATTGTCTTTCTGTTTGTGGTCTTTTAAGTTCCATCCCCTTGGGTTTACAGCCCTTCGGACTTAATATATCTTCGTATTCTAATACACCGTGATGCACTTTTGTTGTGGTTTAAACTCAGCCAGACAGCTTGTTCACTCACTTCCCCCCCTTCTTTCCCTCCCCCTACTCCCGGAGGAACAGAGAGGAGAATTGAAAAGAATGCAACTCCCACGGGTTGAGATAAGAACAATTTAGTAACTAAGGTGTAACACAGATCACTACTGCTACCACCAATGATAACAATGATAAAGAAAATAACAAGGGAAGAGAATACAACACCTCACCACCAGCCAATTGATAACTCACTCCCCCAACCCGACCAAACACCGACCGATACCTCCTCCAACCCTGCAGTCTACCAGCCCTTCCGGCTAACTCCCAGTTACATCCTGGGCATGACGTGCTGTGGTATGGAATACCTCTTTGGTCAGTTTGGGTCAGGTGTCCTGTCTCTGTTTCCTCCTGGCCTCCCCTCCTCCCTGGCAGAGCATGAGGCTCACAAAGTCCTTGGCCAAACCAAAACATCTCTATCAGCTCTGTTCCCAAGCCGAAAGTCAAAACACTGCACTGCACCAGCTACCAAGAAGGAGAAAAATGACTGCTACTGCTGAACCCAGGACAGTATCCACCCCTTATTCTATACCATTCACGTCATGCTCAGATCCCACATTTTCAGTATACTACCATCACTCTTATCTTAGTACATGGACCAATCCCTATAAAGCTGCTGAGTCCATTGGTCCATGATGTCAGGCTTCATCTCTTGTAACAGTCGTCCTGAACAGGAGAGACTGTGTGCAGTATTCACACTCGTGAATAACCTGGGCAATAGTGTCCATTGCTAAGTCCACCCCTCGACCATGAGCCCATCTCTGTGTTGCATCTCTGCTCTGATGGCCTGAATGTCATGGGCCCACCAGGCTCAAAATAATTCACTGTCCCCTTAAGCAGTTTCTGCAGCTTGTTGCTGGGGACTCCATACAGCTCCTTCCATCTCCGATGCTTCCAAATTACTGGAGGAGCCCAGTGGACTAGATACTTGCCCATACTGTCCCACATGCCCTGCCACTCATGACTCTCCAGCCTTGGGGAAAACCTCTTGGTCCCCCTCTATCGTCATCTAACCCCAGAGAAGACCCAAACCTGACTCTGCTTAACTTTTGAGATCAGACAAAATGGTCGTGGGTAGAACACAGCCTGTGTGTGTGCCAACATGCTGATCCCCACCACAATCAGCAGGCAGGTCCCAAGGATACCCAAAGGCCATTCAAAACCTTCAGAACTCTCAGTTGATGCTGCTGTACTTGTCACTGGGGCTGGTGTAGCTGCTGTGCTTGCCGGCTCTCCCACCACCGGCTTCTCTTTTCCTGAGTCCAGCTCTTCCTCCTCTGCCTTGCTGGGAAATGCTGCGTGGTCTCCTGCATCCTCCTGGGGCTCGGCGGGCGGCTTCCGCGGAATGCTCTCGGCCGCCGCGGGGTTCAGCTCCTCCGCAGGCCTCGGGTCCTCCGTAGCCTTCCAGCTACCAAGAAGGAGAAAAATGACTGCTACAGCTGAACCCAGGACAGCTTTCTTAGACTTAATATGCCTTGATATAAAGGGTCTGTACCTAATATGCCTTGATGGACTTGAACTAATTTGATAGGAAAAGACCCATCTTGAGAAGACAGACAAACTGAGCTGTTTGCTTCAGTCATCATCGTACATGTATGTGTATAAAATTGTTGAGGCAGAGGAAAAATAGGTAAAAGCATATAAGTTTCTGCACTTGTTTATTTGGTTCTAGAAGTTAAATAGCTGTAACTTGTGTAGTCTGCAAGAAGAATGCCGGTTATGTGTCCTAGGAAAAAATGGAGATAAAAGATGGATGAGAAGCAGTAAGATGTGACATCCAGAGTAAAAACCATGGCAGAATATCAGTATAGCAAAACTGGGAGATAGCAGGAAAAAAAATTACAATTGTTGTCCCTTAAATGTAGTTTAATATTTGTTATGGCCCGGACATTCTTTTCTACAGTGTTCTTCAGGATTTTAGTGCAGTAACTCATCACATGCCAGTCAGTTTATCTTGGCCTCTGTTTAACAGACTGTTATTTTGTCTGTGTCAGGTATAGGATTCAAGTTTTATGAAATAGATTAATTTTTTTTTTTTTAAGTCTCCTTAATGGTGTCTAAATTTAGTACATCAATTGATATGGCTCAAACCAGAATGTTTGGTTTACCTTCTATCCCCCCCCCCCGTTTATGAATTTCTATTACTTTCTGTATTGTTTTCTACTAACCAGTTTGCAAAAATCAATAAACTTATCATTTCAAATGCATTTGGTTTCAACGTCCATAGCATAACATGCATTTGAACACGGAACAGAAAATCTGAACATAAATCTTAGTAAATTAATAATAAGGAAGCAAAATTAACCAGGGTGTCTCAACTCACTAGCATGGTGCTCCACTAGATGCTTTGTTTTCTCTGCATCTAGATAGAGCTCAGCTTACGCAACCTAGATACTCATATCCATGGAGCGCTGTCTTCAGTCTATGCTGTTTACATTACTCCATTTTAGTGATCTGAAGATTTTATTTATTTCTTTTTAAAAAGTGAATGTGCCTGAACTAGAACTTAGCATCATCTTTCTCAAAGTGCCCAGTTAATCTGTACTCTTAATTTGCTGTAATAGTGAAAGGATTAGGAGTATGAATTTCTGTATTTAAACAGGTGAATCAGTGTTTTGGCAATGTTGGCTATTTTTATTCTTATATTAAATTGGTCATTGGCTCAGCTCCTACTTTCTGTTACAATTTCAGACGTTTTACATTTTGGCATTCTGGTGAAAAGAGCCAGTGTTTTCAGAGGGCAGCTGCCACTTGCAAAGTTCTGGTGCAGATTTAGGCAGAGGTTAGAGTTTTCCTTTAGTTTATGCCTTTCCTTAAACTGATATAGGAAGTACGTAAGTTCAGTGATGGCAGGATGGTGTCTGCAGCTTAAACTTTCTTGCTTAGACATGAAATAGTAATTATTCCTGCTATCTTGATGGCAGTGTTTGGGAGGTATAGTGGGGAAGGGTTCCTGAGTAATTCAGACGTGAAAATTACATATGTTGTTTGTATAGTTGTATCTGCCTCAAAATGTGCATTGATGTAACCTGGAAAATGTGATTTGTTAATTCTTTTTTAGATGGAATTGATTAAAAACATAAGCACTGCTGAGCAGCCCTATTTATTCACTAGACATGTTCATTTCCTCAACTTCTCAAGGTAAGGCATTTTTTCAATTGTTTTTCATTGATTTCTATTAATTGTAATACATGGAATGTTTTCCCTCCTTTTTACGTATAAACAATAAAATTTACTTCCCCTCCCCCTTTCTGGTGCTGGGAGTCACATTCAGAAGTTTGGAGGGTTTTTTTTTTTCCTCTCTTTGCTACGTAATAGTTACATGGAGTATGTTTCTGAAAAGCCAGGATGCTATTGCATGCCTTTGCCTCCAAGCTGATCTAGGTTTACAACATTTCCAGCCAACATGTATGAGCTGGTAACTTAGGTCTTTAAACTGTGCACATTGTTGCAGAGGTTTTCTCTCTGTATAGCTGGATACTAATATGAGATTGAAAACTCCACTGAGTGCATTAATTTTCTACCCGGAACAACTCTTCACCAGTTTAACCAATTTAATTTTGTTCTGACAAAATAGTCCCCATTCCACAGGGTATGGAAGTAGTTATAAACCATGCAGATGGATTATGCTCTGTATCATGGGAGTGCAGTCCCTCCTGGCAGCCATTTAAAAGTATGCAGCAAGACTAGAGACATTTATAGCATGGAATGTGAAGAAAATTGAATTTGGATGAAACTTGGAAGGAATTTTTTGAAGGAGCAAGTGATGCCAATTAGCATTTAGCCAGGACACAAAGGTTAAAGCTGACTGCAGATGGTTATTGCCCAAGTTGTAAGTTTAATTTGGAAATTATATTTGGGAACCATGCCATCTGTGCCACTAGGTTGGACTCCATGCATTTACATTAAATAAATGTTTGTAGGAGTGTGAATTTCATTAATTTTCTGCAGATCTTTGCAAGAGGTTGCTTATCTTTCCAGCATATTGTTTTTGTGGTAATATCAGTGCATGTCCTCTGAATGTATGGCTTGGGAAGATAGTGTAGTAAAAAGTGATAAAATTGCGGGGGGAATGGAAGGGGAAAGAAAAGAGGAGAGGAGGCTGTTGTTCAGGGTTTGGTTTTGGTTTTTTTGTGTTTTGTTGGGTTGTTTTGTTGGGTTTTTTTTTAGAAAATATGTTGAGCAGTTGGAATTTCACTTGAGATATCAACTTAAGTAAGACCATGATTTTGTTACAGGAAAACAAGAAGAGTTAAAATTCCCATTTGTGTTCTCTATTCTGATTCCATGAGAGTTCCATTTCTAATATATTATCTTTAAAAAATGAAACTCATAGAATAGGATGTCACATCTTTAATAAATGATCTTTCTGCCAAATTGCAAGATCAAACAAGTACCCACATAAAGAGATGTTTCTTGATTAAACTGTTTTTTTAGAGAGGGGACACAACATTAGTACATGAGAAAGAAATGAACATCATTGCCTCTTTTTTCATCCCAACATCCCATGCTCTATACATATGGTGCATCCTTGCCACGTTGGTAACATGTTCCTTTTGTTGTGTATCCATGGGATGAAATCTCTCTGCATTTTTCTTCCAATACAAATCCTTGAAAACATATAAAAATTATATGAGATGTGTAAAAGTATTTGCAGCTTCCTTTTTGGCTGTTTGTTGCAAACCTGGAAAACATATTTTTCATTTTATTGAGAGGACATGTGGTTTAAGTAGTAGCTGTAGAGTAGTGAAAAGACTAACCTTTAAACGAGACATCATTGAAGTACATCAACATTGCTTACTATTGGTTAAACATTTCCTAGTGTTTACTGATAAATAAACATTTGAGAGTTTTAGTCTGTGGTTTCAAAATTTATTGGTGCTATTACAACTAACAGTGAATAGCGTTGAAGAGTTGCTCTGTCCCTTAATTATAGGGTGATACGTTTCTGTCTTTGTAACTGATTTCATTAGGAACTTCAGTGTCAAGTATCTATCTTGCAGAAATTTCAAGAATGTGATTTAAAACCACATTATGAATATTACAGAATTGTGAAAGCATTTTAGTATTACTGCATTTTTCTTTTTAAACTGATCCTTTATAAACCACCTCTAGTGACTTGAGCTGAACTCAAATTGTCTGTGGAATACATTTCTTCCTGTTTGCCACAGCTCTTCTGCCAGCTCACATGAAAGCCATGCAATACCCCAGAAACTAAAAGAATGAGGGTCAAAGTATTGATGTGGTGGTTTCTTGGCTGACAGCTGAAGACCTTAGACAGCAGCTTGCTGTCAGCAGCTCAGGACAGTGGGGAGTGGGATGGGTGCTCAGGGACAGGTAGACCACTGACTGCAGGCTTAGGGTGGCTTCAGATCTGTGAAAGGCTCAAAAATCAGCTTGAAGATTGAAGAACCCTACTTTGGTGACAGCCCTTGCTCCTTCCCAAGGAAAGGGATGAGGCTTTCTACATACCGTTGTAGCAGAGCCATTACTGGAAATAGTGAATTTTTGCACGTGCAGTCATCCTGGGCATTAGTACAGTAATAAAACTCGTTTCTTGTTTGGCATTTTATACCTTTGAAATCAAGCCTTTGTTTGCAGGAAGGGATAAAGAATGCTTTATTCTCCTTTTTTTCCTGCATATATCAAGCTAGCAGACGGGTATATATATATTATAAAGCATGCTCTGCTTGAAGGACACTCTAGGGACAAAAGGAGTCTCTTCCATTTGCCTTGCACATACCTGCTTGAGACCTTTCAAGATCTGTAGGTATTGTTAAGCTGTTTTAGAGGCTATCACCAAGGTACTAGAGATGCAGTCATGCAAAACATAAGTCTGCTTTGCTTTTGCATAGAAGTGAATAATTTCTGTTGGAAAAGACCTTGAAGATCATTAAGTCCAACCATTAGCCAAACACTGCCAAGTCCACCACTAAACTGTGTCCCTAAGAGCCACATCTACAGTATTTCAAATGCCTCCAGTGATGGTGACTCAGCCACTTCCCTGAGCAGCCTGTTCCAAAGCTTGGCAACCCTTTCAGTGAAGACATTTTTCCTCATACCCCATCTGAACCTCCCTGGCACAACGTCAGGGCAATTTCCTCTTGTCCTATTGCTTGTTATCCAGGAGAAGAGACTAACACCCACCTCACTACAAGCTCCTTTCAGGTAGTTGTAGAGCGCAATGAGGTCTCCCCTGAGGTCTCCCCTGAGGTCTCCCCTGAGGTCTCCCCTGAGCCTCCCTTTCTCCAGACTAAACAACCCCACTTCCCTCAGCCCTTCCTCATCAGACTTGTGCTCCAGACCCTTCACCAGCTGTGTTGCCCTTTTCTGGACCTGCTCCAGCACCTCAATGTCTGTCTTGTAGTGGGGCCCCAGAACTGGCCTCACCAATGCTGAGTACAGGGGGATGATCACTGCAATGAGTCTGCTGGCTCTGCTATTTCTGATAGAGGCCAGGATGCCATTGGCCTTCTTGGCTGCCTGGGCACAAACTGGCTTACATTCAGCCAGACATCAGTCAGCACCCCAAGGTCCTTTTCCACCAAGCAGCTTTCCAGTCACTCTTCCCCAAGCCTATAGCATGGCATGGGGTTGTTGTGGCCCAAATGCAGACCCAAGGCACTGAGTCTTCTTAAAGCTAATACACATGGCCTCAGCCTGTCATTCCAGCCTGTCCAGATCCCTCTGCAGAGCCTATCTTTCAGCAGATCAACACTCCTAGCCAACTTGGTGTCATCTGCAAACTTACTGAGGGTGCACTCGACCCCCTCATCCAGACTGCTGATAAACAAGACATTAAACAGAACTGGCCCACTGCTGAGCCCTGGGGGACACCACTTGTGACCAGTTGCCAACTGGAGTTAACTCCATTCACCACCACACTTTGGGCTTGGCCATCCAGCCAGGGGTTGTTTACCCAGCAAAGAGTACAGCTGTCCCAACCATGAGCAGCCGGTTTCTCCAGGAGAATACTGTGGGAAATGCTGTCAAAGGCCTTGCTGAAGTCTAGAATGACAAAATCCACAGCCTTTCTCTCACCCATTAATCAGGTCATCTTGTCATAGAAGGAGATCAAGTTTGTCAAGGAGGACCTGACTTTTACAAAGCCCTGGTGACTGGGCCTGATCACCTCATTGTCCTATACGTGCCGCATTAAGGCACTCAGGATGATTTGCTCCATTACCTTCCCTGGCACTGAGATCAGACTGGCAAGCCTGTAGTTCCTTGGATCCTCCTTCTGGCCCTTCTTGTGGATGGGAGTCACATTTGCTAACCTCCAGTCAACTGGAACCTTCTCAGTTAGCCAGGACTGCTGATAGATTTTGGAAAGTGGCTTGGTGAGCACTTCTGCCAGCTCCCTTGGTATTCTTGGGTGAATCCCATTCAGCTCCATAGGCTTGTGTGCGTCTAGGTGGTCTAGCAGATCACTGACCATTTCCCCTTGGATTATGAGCCTCATTCTGCTCCTCATGCCTGTCTTCCAGTTTAGGGGGCTGGGTACTCTGAAAATGACTGATCTTACTACTAAAGACTGAGGCAAAGAGGGCATTAAGTACCTCAGCCTTTTCTTCATTCTTACTGGTGCTTCTCAGCTTCCCAAACAATAGTAAGAAAAACAAACCTGACTTGCAATTAACATCACTGATGTGAATAGCAGCAGTTTCTTTCTCTTCTTTGATGTGAGTGAATTTCTACATAATGCTTGTCAGAGGAAAAGCTTCTATTTCCAGTGGTTTGCAGCTTCTGTTCCCAGCCTCTCCAGTGCAGCTACAGCTAACTTTAGGAGATGATCCAGTGCCTTGGAAGGGTGACTGTTCCATCCAGTGCATTTTGGGACTGTTTTTTTTGGGGAAGATGGTCCTGCTTATTGGATTCTCCTGTACTTGTGATTCCTGGGTGAGGCTTTTCATTAGGTCTTTGTGGTCATTGTATTACTCATCCTAAATGCTGGACTGACCTCCCCAAGAAACCCCCAGAGGGCTTTCTTCTATTAACCCTATTTGGAAATGTGTTTATACAGAGAGGTAAATGTTTCAATGCTTTTTCTCTTCATACCAGCTGTTAGCTACTAGGGATTTCTTTGTTCTTGATTGGAAAGAGTGTATTTCTCTGAAGTTTTCCATAAAACCATCCAGGCC